ACAACACCCACTGTATTCAAGGTTTCCTGGTGTTTTTGACCTCTAGTGGAGCTATGGAGGTGTTCTTCTATGAGTGGGGGACCCTGTTTATCTATCTCTATTGTTTGATACTAGTCCACTGATCTGTAGGTGGTGCCAAGATAAGCTGCAATACGAAGGCAGAGAAGAACAAGACTGCAAGCTAGTAAACAATGCTGGATTTAAAATACTTTAAAAATCCAAAAGGAATATCCACTGAACACATTTGTTAAAGCCACATACAGTTCTATCTCTGAAATTCTTGCTTTAAACTATTCTAATTATTATAAATACTAAAAATGTTCTATTAACAGTCTTTGAGAGAGTTTTCACATCTCCTAGCAACAATAGTTTTGATAAACAAGCATAGTGCACAACTTCATTTCTTTTCCTACATACACTGATACACCCACAGACACATTATGATTGAAGCAGCTTGCAGTGCCTTGCTCAAAGGGACTGACGTGTCAGCTCGGTGATGTGCTGAAGTTGAAGTCACACTGTCACATGTCACTACTTCCACTGTGACAAATAAATAAAAATACTGCTGCGTCGCCCCCCCCGAGATAAACACAAAGAGCTGAAGGGCTGCCTGAGTGATGACTGACAACACCTGTGAGCGACACAAAGGTGCTCAAAAAGATCACTGCAATCTGCTGCAGCCTAGAATAAAGGTAGGAATAAAGTTGAGCAACTGCAGCTATCTACCCTTTCAACCAGTGTCTGAACTAGGTTTTGAACAGGACCATTTTTGTGAATTGAATTCACAAACATAAATAATAGGAAACCCTGGCTCACTGCTTTATTGTTTATATTTTTTCTCTAAGTAAGTTGGAGAATTGAGGATGTTTGACAATCAGCACTTAAACCTGTCTGTGTGCTGCAGTACAATATGCAATTTAAATTAAGGTGTCAAAGTTGAGCATAAAACAGTATTTTCTGGATCACCAATGAAACCAAATGGCTTGGTTTCTACTGTTTTCAATTTGAAAACAAAGTGGAGAAAAATATTTGTCATGAACATTTATCTTGTTGACTGCAGAGAGGGTGTCTGAACAGCAATGTCAGTGCTGACCTGTCATTTTCAATTAAGAGGTTATCACTTATTCATAGTCAATTAAATCGACGCAGAGCTGTCACCAGGCAGCAGGCTGCTGCACTGGCTGCCAGCCAGCTAACCCTTAAAGCCACCATCACTGGAAAACAATGTTCACAGGGACACAACAGCACACAGGGTAACCGACGAGCCCAGTGGGCATTGACATGAGCAGACCTGTGCAGGAGGTTTGAGTCTGGGTCAGACCACAGGAGTTTAGCACAAATTCTGTTTTGCCTGTTTTGCACCTGGCTTGGTGACTGTTTATGCAAACAAAATATGCATATAGGGTTAAAGCTGCAGCTGGTAATTTTTATGAAACTAACTTTTGGTCATATGTTCTGATATGTTTACTATATTCTGACAGTTGTACATAAGACAGAAAAACTGTAAAAAAAAAAATCAGGTTCTTCTGACTCCTCCTAGTGCTACTAATGACATTTACAAGAATCCACCGGGCACAAACGAAAACAACCAATCAGAGCCGAGAAAGATAGAAAGATGCTTTGTGTTGGTGGCTTGAATATAGTTGATTGTCGAGTCTCATTCCCAGAAATGATATTTGACAATCTGGAAATGAGACTCAACAATCCACTCTTTCTTGGCTCTGATAGGATGTTTTTATCATGGCTTTAAGTATTCTTTAGTTTTTTTCATAATTCAAATCTGCCTAACAAGTTTCTATTCTATCTGTTATTCAATTAACAAAACTTGATTTTAGAGCTTTATGACTAGAACCATAATCATTATGTCAGGCAACCTTCCTGCTATGAACCTTCCTTTGATACTGATGTTATTTACAGAGACCCAATAAATCCCATGACGAGAAAGCATTTGGCGACAGTGGCAAGGAAAGACTTCCTTTTTAAAGGGGACATATTATGAAAAAACAACTTTTTAATCATTTGATTATGTACATTTGGGACTCTGGAGGGCCTATCAGCAAGCAACTCAGTCATGTTTTTGTGGGCTGCCTTAGTCAAAATACAGGAGATAAAACACGCAATGTAGACTTTGCACGAATTGTGACGTCACAGTCTGTGTTTGCGACCTTTCACCGCGAATGTTGCCACCCTACCAGGAAGTTTACTTCCTTGTTGTCTAGCGGAGCTCCGCCGTTGTCCCTATAAAAGAGCAAGCTAGCAGAGAACAAGCAAGCCTGCCAGCCTAATGTCTGGGCAAAGGCTTCAGCAGGCAAACTGTTCAGTTATTGGCTGCACAGCCCAACACTAATTTACATATGTATGAGCACAGTGCATTTATTTTTATTTTTGAAGGCAATGTCCGTTGTGTCCGGAGGAAATTAGGTCATTAGTTTGGTAGGATTGTAGCTTTGATTAGCACACAGCAAATTACTGTAAGCAACACATTACTGTATCACATTCAAACTTTATTATGTTGGAAGATAAATTACATCATGATATATAATATAAATGCTACAGTAATATAAATGATACAATATTCAGTATATAAACAGAATATTGTATCTGAATGGGGTTAAAACATAATTGCAGCTTTTACAAATATCTGAAGGTTAACTTTGGTAACAATACTTTTAAGTTAAAAAATCAGACTATGAAATACGGATACAGTACAGTTTACAGTTGGTTACTTAGCAGTTTTTAAACCACAAAACAAGTTACTTTATTAGATGAGTAATTGCTTCAGTTATGTTGACATGTTGTACAGGATAAAGTATTCCAGGTTTCTGTTTCCATGGTCTCAGTAAACTAATGTGTATAAAGAATATAACAGATGGGAGGTTACAGTAATCATTATACTATTACTCTGATTACTTTGGTACATTTACTGGCTGTTTCTTCACTAGAAACAACTGCTTGACTAATGTTGTTAATATTATGTAATATATAATATGTTTAACTTCACTGGGCTGTGTAGACTGTAGGTCACTGCTCACTGCTGTACCTGGAAAGACAAGCATAAAACACAGTGTTGGTTCTCATAGTTAAGGTATAAACACTAACATTATGTGATAGATAGAGGTTTATATATATAATTAATACCTTGAGCAGCGCTAGACACCAAAAAACAGCTGAAATATTGAGCAGCAGTGTCAGTGGAGATGGAGGTGCTTGGTTTTAACATGGCAACTCTGAAATGGCACACAGGCTCATTGTGCAGAGAGAAGGAACAAACAGACTGATGTAGTGGAGGCTGTTCCTCACCTCGCAGGACGAGTTCACCGGCAGTCTACTTTATTTAGAAACAAACAGACGTCTGCCCTCCTGGAGGCCTCAGTTTCCCACAGAAAGCCCATATGTAATATATGCTAATGTGATCATGCACTCCTTCCGGCTCTCAAAACCCAGTGCTACGCCCTCAAGACTTTTCTGAACTATTTAAACTTCTCATTTGTATAACTCCCCCCGCCCCCAAACCACTTTAATAACTCCAAACAATACCCTTCTTATTGCTGAGTCTCTTTTGAATTTGAAGCCATTATAAGCACACTATTTACATGCAGATTTGTCCGCTTTAACGCATAGTCAAACATTACAAAGCTGTTTTGTCAGCAGCACAGATTTGGAACATGCAGGACTGGTTCCGACTCACAGCACCGCAACAGCTATGAATCATTAAAGGGAGGTTTCGCTTTGATGTTCATCTGCGATAGTCTGATGACTCCCCCTGCACATTCCCCACAGGGACGGAGAACCTCTCCTCAACCAGATGTGGCTGTAACCTGGCCAGACCCACCGCTTTAATGTGCTTGTAGCCAACAGATTGGGACATGACCGCAGTTTGGGACCCTCTGCTACTATACCACCAGACTACAGAGCAGCTTCTCTCCCCAGGCTGTAAGACTCCACAACTCATTCTCTGTACTCCACCATAAAAAATAGTTCATTTTTATGACTTATTATTTATTCATCCATTTGTGTAATGTTTGTGTTGTGAGTAGCATATAGGGACTACAGCTTATATTTCGTTATACAACTCTGCATTGTAGAATGATAAATAGATGAAACTTAAGACATAAGGGTCGGGCTGGCTCTGAGAAGATGAAAATGAAGAGATGAATTTTAAAACATACAGTCCATTGCACAAAAAGAAGTTCCTCTTTGACATTTTTACTTCAATGTTGAAAAGATTCATCCCAATTCAATAAAGATGATAACCCGACTGAAGGATTATAGTGTAAGTGATTGTGAACCCTTTATAAATGACACCATTACTAAATCATTAAAAAGGAGTTATGGATTCTCACTTTCTACTATTCCATTAGGTTTGCAGTGATGATGCTGTAGGTGCCCCTTTAGTGTAATGTTTTGATGTGCTGTTAAAGTCCGGTAATGCAGTAAAAGGAGCAGTAAACTCTGTGTTTGGAGGTGGTTGGGGTGCTTTCACCCAGGAGACTTCTGTTGGTGTCTCATGTCAAACCAAAAGTCAACGTTGACCTATTTTTACTTAAGTCACGTACTTATTTGAATCTAAACCAATTATTTTCTAAACCTAACCTGGTATTTGTGTCTAAACCCAACCATCTTGAACATTTGTCATGTTTATGTAAACAATCTGCAGAAATTGGAAATGAACCCACATGGAAGAGACTGAAACACGTATCAACTATATGAGCACATTTTAGAATATTATATTGTTTACAGATGCAGATATTGTGAAAACCACTGCAAGTTCATGTTTGCTCTAGGAGAAATATGATTTTATGCAATTTTATTTCATATTTGGCTTCATTAAAAATGTAGATTAAATTAAGATTATCATTAGGGATGGAAATTGATAAGTATTTAACAATTCCGATGCCATTATCGATATTGCTTATCGATCCGATTCCTTATCGATTCTCTTATTGATTCTCATTGGGTGAGGAAATAAGTACAAATTTGTTTGTTTGTATTAACTCGCTTTAATAGACACAGCACAGAGCATTGGTTATTGGTCCAGACAAAAAAATAAATGTTTTGGCTTTTTAAGCCCAGCTGCCATTATGTGACATAAAAATTAAAAACACAGACTGAAAACAGTCAAGGAAGAGCTTGTGCCTTTTGGAATATTAACAATGCTCATTTGGAATCAACTTGAAACAAAATTCAACTGACATAAAAAAATACAAAGAAGTCTTCTGTAAAGATAAGACCACAACTATCAATTAACAATTTTTGTGCAGAAAAATTATCATGTTTACCCTCTCAGGAAGGATACGAGATCTTTCTGGACTTAGGGTGTCTCCAGCAGTGGAGAACACCCTTTCAGAAGGGGTGGAGGACGCTTGGACACAGAGATACTTCTCAGCTAGAGCTGACAACACTGGCAATGTGTCACTCTTCTTCCACCACCAGAAACTGGCACTGTCTTTGGTTGGAATGGGAGGAAGGCTTCTATAAAGCTGGATTTCTTGATCCACTGTGGAGACCGGGGGCTGCTGCTGCATGGAAAGCAGCTGGCTGTCCTCTTCTTCAAAAAGTTCCTCTAGGGCTGTCCTCTTTTTCTGCTTTACAGGTGGCGTCTGAAATTATGACATAACCACAAGGTTTAGTTTTAAATTAAATAGAGTAATAATCCCTGCCATCTATCATCATTCATCACAATTAGCTACAATCAACTTATGTAGTCCTCCTCTTCTTCTTCTTCTTCTTCTCCATCCTCTTCTTCTGCCTGCCCCTGTGTCTCTCTTGGCTCTGACAGCTTGAGAAGAAATTTACAGTGTAAGAACCACAGAGCAAGAAGAAAAGGTCTCACAACAGAAATATGCTAAAGGCATTGTCAAATTCAAATACCTTCTCAACTGCCTCTGTGTTTGCTGCCACTGCTGATACCCTGACCCTGTCCTAGATTTCATCCCTGTCCATTTTAGATTTAAATCTGGGATCTAACACATTGGCTTCCCCCAGAAATGCCTGGATATCATCATCCTTAAGTTTAAAATGGAGGACAAACAAAACAAATTTAGGAGAAAATGTGACTGACAATAAATAACCATTAGTGTATTTGATTAATTGTCATATAGTAATTCATCATTACATGTCAGTGACTGTACCGGTAACGTTTGGAAAGATCATTCCAGATGTTCTCCTTAACGCTCCTGACGAATGCAGAGTCGTCTGCCTGCACTGTGTAATGTTTGCGCAGTTTCTGAAGGATGGGCAATATCTGGCCACAGGTTGGACTTTTTTCGCTGGAGACAGCAAGTGTGGATGTGTAATGCATCTTCATCAGCAGCACAAACTCCTCTGCTTTCCTCAGGTCCTTTTTGCCCATTCTGGCCAGTCTGCAACATAAACAAAACAAAAAATATATATTGCATAAACAACAAACATAACCCTTTTAATGGCTATAGTCAACCAGGTTTTATATAAGTAATTTTAATTTTTTTCAAACATTAGTTACTTCTCTTTCTCCATGGGCTTTCTAAGCTGTTGGTCTATAGCTGCAGCATAGATAGCAGGAAACTGTTCACAAAATCTCTTCATCATCAAATACAGAGAGTTCCATCTCGTCCTCACATCTAAAAGGAGCATGTGCTGGGCCATCTCTGCAGGCACACACACACACACACACACACACACACACACACACACACACACACACAAGATTATGAGATTACATTATATATATATATTAATATTACCATTACTTTATCGTTTTTAAATTGATCCTAATCTGTTCATTTATATGTTACAATTTGTATGTCGTTAGCTTGCAATTAAAGTATTTAAACAGTAGGCATATTATTTACTGAGGAGTTGTTTCCTTCAGGACTACTTTAGCCATGTGGGATCTCTTCATCCATACGATCACAGAACGAATCCTTGCTGCCCAGTTGGAAACTGTATTGCAGCTGTACAGCTTCTGAGCTCCATGGTTAAGTGTGTGCGCAAAACATGGAAACTTGATGATGTTTAACTTTTTCACAGCTACATCCATGTTTGCTGCGTTATCCACAGTTGCTGCCACCACCTACTCTTTCACTCCAAACTCCTCCATGATCCCCTCAATCTCCTCGGCCACAGCTGTCCCTGTTTGAGCTTCGTACACTGCTTTGGTTGTGAGGACTTTTTCTTTACTCTGACCTTCCCTGACATAGTGCAATGTTACGGTGAGGTAGTGGTCTTGACTGAAACTAGTCTAACCATCTGCTGTGATGGCTGCAAGTGTGACATGTTTCAGGTCTGTGATCAGATTGCTCTTTTCATACCCATACCAAGTAGGAATCAGATGATTTGTTAAACTGTCTCTGTTTGGGGCATTGTATTTTGGGTTGAGAGTCTTTATCATCTCCCTACAGAAAATATATGGTAGGACTGGAAATAAACAAAACAGAACTATACTGACATAAAACATGCAACTTTTGTACATGTATTTGTTACTTTCATTTGAAAAGACATGCTGGACAAAATACAGCAAATTAACCTACCGAAATTCCGAGGCATCTGCTGTGGCAAACGGGTGCAAACCCTTTACCACAAACTTAGTCGGTGACATTCGTTTATCCTTGCCTCGGTCATTTTATTCTTCCCTGCCTCTGTGAACGGAGTAGCTAGAGAGATGCATGAGAGCTACTCGCTGCAGCCTCTGAGCCAGTGTGAGAGCCAGCCTCTGAGCCCCCTGACTCCCTTGTGTCGCTAAGCAGTGTATCAAACACGCGACAGTCCTGCAAATTAATTGCATGCTGTGTGGCCAAATGTTTGTGCATATTGAAGGTAGTTCCCCACTCTGCCGAAATGGACACTTTACAATTGTTGCAACTGACCGTGTTGATGTCTTTTCGCGTGAAATACAACCATACTTTAGAGTGCTTCTGCCTCAACACCATGTTCGCTGCGTACTGAACCAAAACAACGCAGCGCGTGTGACGTCATGACGCATTTGCAACGAGCGGAACCGATAAGTGGAATCGTTAAGCAGGCACGCTAACGGTTCCAAGGAATCGATTCACTGGGCACCGGTTCTGAAGAAGAACCGGTTCGCAATTCCCATCCCTAATTATCATTGGTGTGCTCTATTTGTTGCCTATTGGCTGAATTATGTCAGGAAGTGTTGTTAAAATTCTTACAAATGATTTAGTCTGGCTGCAAAATGACATTAAAGCCATTATCCCTCAGCTGTTCTGTCTTTTCCCACTCAAATGCATTTCTATGGAGCAAAAGAACAGTTAAATGCCATTTTGGAGGACTATTCATTCAGTGCCACTTGGCCGAGGTAAGCATGTGACAATAGGCTTACGCGCACACACACATTCCTGTATGAGCACCACAGTGAGGACCTAGTCCATTCACAGAGGGAGTGAGGACCACCCTTTCTGCTCTACTCAGAGACAAACACATGCTATATTTCAACAGTAGGTGGCTCCCTGATCCCAGTTTCCACCTCAGTTTCTTTAAAAAAGAAAAAGAAAAATCTAATTATTTTAGACAAGTTTACTACCAGGGTGAGGACATTTTCATGGGGCACTGTTGGGTCCATTTCACAATAGACACATTTTCTGTTTTTGGCATGCAGTTATTGTTTACTGCCATTTTATGTTTTAGTAAAGAAAGAAATAATATATAATAATAAATAATTCTGAAAGTGTCCGAAAAGAGTTGTACAGTATGAGATTCATAGATAATAAGAATGCCTAAAATTAATGTTGTGACCATAAATTATATTGCAGTACAAAAATAAAGATGCACTTTTACAATACGATTAATGCTTTACCAAAGTGACCAAACATTAGCAATAAACATCAGTATCCTACATACTCCAACAAAGCTGCAATGAATGCCATCTCTAGTGTACAGAACTGGATTTATTTTAGTTTGTGAACTGAGACAAAAGTCCTGATGTGCACAAACCAACAATGGTAAAAGAACTATTCAGATCTTTTAATTGGGAAAATGTACTAATACCACATAATGAAAATACTTCACTATAAGTCCTACATTCAAAACTGGTTGTAAAAGAAAAAAATTACAATCTGCAAAGTAATTGAAGCTATCAGAAAAATGTAGTGAAGTTAGAAGTACAATATTTGCTTCTGAAATGTGTAATTACAATGTGTATATACAAACACAAATAAAGTACACATACCTTAAACTAGTTAAATTTAGATTAAATTATATTACACTACTTGAGCATATGTGCTTAGTTACATTCCACCACTTTTAACCAATCGCCATTAGAACAATAACATGCACACCTATTGGCTCAACCAGAGATTATAAGTAGAAAAGTAGAAGTAGACTTTTGATCCAAGGATTTCTCTTGTGATATGCATTAGACACAGTCCTCTTTACCTGGAACTCGGCGCTGTACTATGAACCTGTTTATTGACAGCAGTCCTCTCTGCTTCATTTCATGGCCTCTTTAACTTTGGGCGCCTCTACAAACAAAGAAGACCATCTAGATTCTGTAACATTAAATACATACAAACCTTTTTTGCCCAATTTGAAAGAACTTACATGTTTATTTCATTGCTGCCTTCTTTTGTCCACTTTTCTTCTGTGGGAGCCCTTCAGCCAGGTTTGTTTCTGGGCTCTCATCTACAACAGTAAAAGACAAACATTATCCACACAGGGGTCAGAACCTCCATCTGAAAAACAAAAATAAAAGCAAAGGAGTGACAAAGTGACACCTCATATTATACAGTGGAGCAAAGCACACTGTAAGCAGCTGTATTTTTATTTGATAGCATCAACTGTACAAGTGTTAATATAGACTGGTTAAAAGGGCATGCACTCTTCATTTTAAAAACTTACCATCATCCACCTCACTGCCTTGTTTCTCTCTCCTCTGTGGGGCAGGGGTGTCAATCCTGGAGGGACTTTTAACTGCAAAAGATGACAAAAGTCAAAAATATTAAAATTAATTGTATTAAAATCCTCAAATACAAAGACCACTGTTGTTTAAAAAGAGCACCATAGGGGTTTCCATGATGACAGAAAAGCATATGGATTTGTCCAGGTGTCCAAGTTACAAATTATAATTTATGCTCATTGAGGAGCCTCAAAATCACACCAAAACCACAATTCAAACAAAAAAGAGGTGCGAAGACAAAAGTAATTAATGTTGATTTTTACCTATGTGCTCTTTTTGCTCTTTTTGAGTCAAAAACACCTCCAGTGTATCTGTGAGTGGATGGAATATTCACCATTTAAATAAGTTTGCCTTTTTTTAAAAAAGTTTGCCTATTTTTGATATACTGGGGTAGGATATTGATACTGATAAGTCAAGAAAAGGTTCCAAAGACAAACTTAAAAATTAAATAGCCTTCCTAACCCAATAATGTCTGTACAGTCCATAACTCATCTTCCATACCTGAGCCCCCATCCTCATCCCTCTGGTCAAGTCTGTTTTCTGGGAAGGAGTCCAAGCCTTCATCTGAAAAAACAAAAACTGAGAAAACAGGAAGTGGCACCTCATACTATGCAGTATTGGAAAGGAAGACATAATGAAAGTGTGTAATTATATCTGCGAATTCAAAGTAGAGGGTTTACAATTATATATATAGTTATCCAATCTAATACAGTTACCAAGTCCCCATAAAGACTTCGATAAAGCCTATAGTGTTTGTCCCATGCTCGTTTGCTGTCCTCCATTTTAGTATAACATTTTTATGGTCATAGTTTTTTGTCTTTGATCTTGTGTTTGTGAATGATACACTTGCCTGTTTGCTATCTCTGGACAATTTCTCACAAGCTGAAGCTTTGTCTGAGCTTCTTAAAGCTTCCTCATTAATGGACGATGCATTCTAAGTTGGATCTGGGTCTGATCCTGTAGAGCTGGATAATTCAGATTCAGGGGATTCACTCCCCGGCTCCCACTGAGTCCCACTGTAAGCAAAAAATCATCATGATAAAAAGTAATCACAATCATATCCAACTTTAAAGAGTCACTTTATTATCATTATCTGATAGATGGACTATCTCACTCAAACTAAGTGAAGTTAATGTTCTATTGTAACAGAACAGTCTGATCCAGTTTTTGTTACGTGGACATGGCAATCATGTTGGTGCATATGAGTGGTGATAAGAGGAGGAATCGAACCATTTCACAATTTAGTGCTACAATTTGTTTATATATTAATTTCCATACTTTTACTTTATGTTAAGACTGCATTTATAATAACCTAATCATTTATATCCATATAATATTACAGTATTAACTCTTTCCATTTGACTTATTAATACAACAAAGTACACAAACTGGCTCTGACAAAGTTTTATATCTATAACTAATTAAGGCTTAAAACTGTTTGATTTAATCAGCTACTATTTGAGTGCACAACCAACACACACTGATTGCAGTCGACTGCAAAGTACCTATTTTTAATTTCCCCCCAGGGATCAATAAAGTATCTATCAAATGTTTCACACTCAAAAACAAAAACATGTTAACCTATGTTGTTGTTGACATGTGTTACATACCATTCAGTCAGCTCTCTGTCCCAGCCCCATAGAATCTAACTTTTTCACTTTTACATAGAAAAAAATCAAAGGAAGATGCAATGTGCAAACAATGAGGGACTAAGTGCTGAAAACACATTTCACTATATTTATGAAGTTTCAGTCTATTTGCCATTGATCCATACCTGATGAAGGTTGTATAGAATGACACATAATTATAATACAAGATTTTGTAAAGGCACATACCTGTGAAGGATACAAAGCCAACGCTTCCTGGACCTAACAACAAAGATGAAATATTTTATAGTTGTATAATACAGTGAACAGTGATGCTTTAGTGCTGTATTCATCTTTTCACATGTGAGAGAAGACATTTTATAAATTACTTATATACTACATTTAAATAGACATTCATTTATTTGATATAAAATGACAATGTTAAAAATTGCATTGGGTATAACATAAGTATACAGTCATACTCTGCAGTCTGCATATTTAGTAAGTTTGTCTGGATGATTAACATGCATTCAGAAATCTCATCACCTGGCAATGTATCTGTTTCTAGATACTGATATATCCTCATCGGCCACTTTATTACAGTCAAATGCAGTTCAGCACAACAACTCCATAAGCTCTACCTTTACAAACTCATAATTAAAGTTTTCCATGTTATAGTGTGAAATGTGTAAATTAAATTCTTGTTTATCACTGAGGTCATAGTTAAAGGTGGTTATACTGTACTGCTTTATATTGGCTGCTTCTCGTAAAGCTACTTTATATATTTTTGCCCTCCCTATTACTGACATGAAGAGGTTAAACTTTTAAAACTCACAAAGCTGTCAAGTACAAGAAAAAAACTAGTTATGGCATCACAAAAGTAGATTTTATGGTAGTACAGTTGTACTGTATGTTTACCCAATAAAGTGTAAAGTAGCTTCTTTAAGTTACTTTGTGAAATAGATTACAGGCGGCAGGAAAAATTTAGCTAATTTCAGAGCAAAGTTAATCAGCACAGAAATATCCTGAAAGATGACCTAGATGTTCTTCTAGGTCAGGTTGATCAACTGTTTCTTATGGTGGCAACTGTCAGTCATCTCTCTGTGCTAGTTTCCCTTTAAAATATCCTGTCAACTGTGTTGACTGAGTGGACAGTCACAGAGGTTGAAATAAAGGAAATAGGAATGGTACTAAATCTATTCAACAATAGCTCATAAATGATTAATTATACATGCAGCAAGCCATGAGAGTACAGCTGATTTTGGATCAATAATAAACAGTTTTGCATTTATTTCAGTGACTGTCCTCAGATGTTCACCTATACAGAGCTATTGGTGTCTTTAAACTGCATTTTAACTCTATTTAGTTCACAGTTGAGGCTAAACTTCACTGTCACAGTAGCCATATTATAGCGCTCTTTTCCCACAGTTATCAATTACATTACTTAGTGAGATTTCACACACATAATACAAAATTAGAGCATGCTACCTGATACTAATTAGGACACAACATTAAACACCATAAGCAAAAATAATGTACCGCAGGCATTTGAAAACATTTCCTGAGAAATGGTAAGGTAGAGCCTACGTTTAAAAATGCTTAAAGCAGTAAGCTTTAAACAAAGGTTATAACTAACATTTGGTCGCTTGTGTATTTTTCACAATAGCTGTTGGTCACTAAATTGCAGTCTGTCACTAAAGTTGAAGTTTGAATTATGTTCACATACAAAAATACACAAATTTCAAATTCAAATTTACTTTAACATAACTTAATTTTTTAATTTACCTAAAAGGAGACTGGAGACAAACAGGTCAGTGACTGGCTGTCCAAAGTGATGCCAAAGTTAACTGTCCAAATACAGGTGGAATTGGTATTTACCCCAGTGCCCCCCAAACATCAGACCCATTAAAAAGTTATTCTGTACCACTGGACTGTATCCCTGTCCTGTAGCTGCTTAGAGAAGTACAGTTGCACATTCTTTCATCATTCAGCATTGTATGTATGTGTTTAAATAAATAATGAAGCACTGTCCAAAGCAAGTCTGTGTAAGTAAATATATTTTGCTCTGTCAGATCACACTTGTAGATAATGTGAGTAGGACAAGCAAATAGTTGGGAGGCAACTGAGGTGACTTAAAAATACGGAAATATACATAATTTAGGAGGTCATAATTTTCTCATACTTTTTAAATAGCTTAACCCAGCTACCAATCTATGGTCTTACAAAGTTGTGTCTTTCTCACACTTCCATAATATCAAAATACAGTAGATGTTAAATTTCAAATTATTTGTGTCACTGAACACAGAATAATTACCACAGGATTACTTAGATAGATTTTACCTTAATTTTACTTTAATTTAATTTATTTTAAAGGCATTGAGCAGAAACCAGAAATCCAGTAAGCACAAAAAAAAACTCAAAAGATGTAATAAACCTATTTTAAATGTTTGAACCTGCATGCACAACTCACAGACAGACATGATAAGTAAAAGTTTACATTTACTTGTGGTCAAAAATATGCAAAAGTCAAAGCCAAGCAGGCAGATGAAAACAAGCAAAATGTATCCAAAAAGAGCTCAGGCTGAGGGGCAAAGGTACATTGGGCAGACAGGGGATCATGCAGGCAGGCAAAACAGATTGCTGGAAAGCTAAGGTGGAAGCACAATAGACAATGTGGAAAAGAATGAATGGGAAAGGGCTTTACAGTATATACACTGCAAGACTGGGGAAGTGGGAACAGGGGTACAAGTAGATGGGGGGGTCAGGTGATAGGGATCAGATCCAGGTGTCTGGATCTGAAATTACAAGACAGTATATGGTAGGGAAAAACAAAGCAGACATGAGGGTGTGCGACTGTTAGCTACGACGCAAGCTAACAAAAGTTAAAGAAAAGGCAAGTGTGAGCAGCAGGTGGTCATCAGTTATCAGTATCTTGTCATCATCACTATTCATTCATATGTAAAGCTTCATGTACTTTAGTGCATTGGTATGTCACGTGAAAAAAGTTTGAACTATAGTCATCATACTGCAGTTGAATTCTGAGAAATATGCACTAAACACAAAGTAAGGCCTGTGCCGTTATTATTACTTGTACATTGTAATTGAACAGATGTAGATATATACCAAAAACTAATTTAAAATATGACTTGCATATAGCGCTAGATGAAAAGTCAGATGATCACTAAAGTTCTTCTGGAGGGGAATATGAATGTTTGAACCTTATTTAATTACAATCTATTCACTGCCATCCCTAAAGCCACACTGCTATTGTAATAGAAAATATAGCAAAAAGAGACTTTGCATGTGTAAAATTGACAATCTAACCTTCTAATACCTAGTTTCATCTGACAAAAATCAGTAATTATCTGCTATTGGAATTTAAACCATCCATAAATACTGTATGTATATGTCAACATATTATTGGATTAGAGTGATGTTAAAATATGAAGTACATACAGTCCTTTTACTGAAGTACCCCAAGATCACACAGTGTATTGCTGACCATCATAAATATTTTTGTTGTACATTGACTAAATGCTGAGAAGAGACTGAAACGTCTTTAATATATGGTCTGACATGGTCTAACAGATATTACTCACTAGCAGGCTGTACATGAAAAAGATCATTTGGAATAGTGGAGTAGTTTACATTTAAAGTAGATTGGATCTGAGAACCATTTCCACTGTATATTTAAGTGAGTGAATAAAAAAAATTATTAAATATCTTGGTATAACAGACATACATAATAAATTATAGTATAGTATTATAGAGTGGAATTTTATATAATTTCATTATAACTGTCTCTTTCATGTTTAAAATCGCTCCGGTACAATAAATCCGAAATACCTATTCCAAAGTACACACGTGAAAATACACACACGATCTCAGTTTGGCACTTTTCTGAGGACTTTGAGAGAAGCACATAAACAGCCTCTGGAGGCCTTTACAGTGAAAAAGAGTAAGGACCAGCCTAATTGTCCTCACTTTGTAAAATGGTCCTCACTCCAAAGGTAATAACTTGGGGTGGTCCTCACAAAGATACACACACACACACACACACACACACACATACACACATATTTGCAACTCTCAAGTTTTGACCTGCACATAATCTTGTAACAGTAATATAAAGACATCATCAAACCATTAATTTTCAAATAATATGCCTATGCATTGGTCTCAGTTGCGTATAAACATTGACAGTCGCAACTTTTAGGCCAAGATGGTTCTCAAATGGTCTGTCCTTAAACACAAATACAATATCATCATGACCTGCATTCAGAGGGTGCTGTTGGATCCGAATGCCTTGGATACTCCTACACACATCGAAACATAAACACACACTGCCAAGCTTGGTATTACAAACACAGAGCAGTTGTACGGCTAGTAAGCACACATACACAATGTCATCTT